AAGATCGAACCTAATATTATAGGTAAGCAACGCGTACGTAGATACTAGATATAAGACTTAATAGGTTCGATAAAGAGCTAAGTCTATCTACGTAAATCCGAATGGTTTTGTACGGTACGCTAAGCGCTAAGTAGTAGGTTAGAGTCGCGTAGGCCGAATGCCTAAGGCTAGCGCTTTCTACCTAGGGCGTAGCCCTTTATATTACCCCCGTCCTCCTCTCCTTTCTTAGCGGGGATAGAAAGCCCCTCGTAGTTTCTATCGCAATTACTTTATCCGTTAGATCTATACCTATCTAAGCTTCTCTAAAGTAACGCGCTCGTAGTTTCCTCCTTTACGATCGGGGTTTCCGCTACTTTCCGGTCGGTATTGCTATACCTAGGGTTTTAACGACTGTAACTTTCTTCGCGACTGCTAAACCGCCCTCTTTTACCCTAACTAGTCTACCTATATTATCTTCTTAGCTGCCTAATCTGCCTCTATCTATATAACTACGCGATTTTTAGGCCTAATTCCTATAGTAATAATAAGATATATAGTATCTACCTAGTACTCTTCCGTTTAACGAGTAGATATACTAGTAAGAGCTATATAGTCTACGAGCTACCGAGGCATTTAAAACCCTAGAAACGTAAGACGACGGTATACGATTTAGTTAGTAGCTTAGGTCTTTATATAACACTAATAATACTAATAATAACGACAATAATAAGGAAAATAGACTACTAGGTAAATTCTAGTAAAGAAGATATAATAATATATATACGCTTAAAAGGAGCGGCGGAAACAGTATCTACTAATCTAGAGAAGGCTTCTTAGATACCTCCTTCTCCTACTATTAAGAAGTAACCTATTCGTAGGGCTATAGTTCCGCCGAGACCGTTAGACGTACTAAAGTCTATATTAAAAGCCGTACCTCGTAGAACTAGTATACCTAATAGGAGGGGTTAGTATAGTAATAGTATATAGTAGAGTATTAAGAAAGAGCTAGTTTTCGAGGTATTAGCTACGGGCGTA